TTTTTTTTTTGGGACAAGTGATCTCCTCAATTCATCATTTCGTTAATATCTCAAGGGCCGAATTTAAAATGAAATAATGAAATTTCATTTTCTAATTCTTTCTAACGAAAGGAGAAGTATCAGTGATTGCAAAAAAAATCGAGATGAAGAAATGAACTAAAATGGTTTTTCAGTTTTTTAATAATGTTCTTCGACTCTCCACCCCTACATTAATGTAACAATTAAAATGCAACTGATTCTTAATGTAATTCGTTTTATAAACTTCAGTAGCGTTTTTTGTTTTATTTAGTTCTTGCTCTTACTTTTCAATTTCTCTGAGGCAACATCGAAGGCCGGATCCTGGATGTTGAGCATCAGATTATTTCCATTGAGGTAGACTCTGTTCTGAGAAGTAGCAATCTGCAAAATAAAAGATATTGCCATTGAATCCATCCGTGAGCAATTTCTTTCGTCTCAAAACATTGAATAATTTTCAATTTTTTATTACCGTGCGAGAAATACTCTGTGCAGCACGTAATTTCCTGAGTTTGAGATATCCTGGATTCTGGGAGACAGCTAGACCCAAGTGCAAAGGAGTTAAGGATGAAAATCGAAATAGAACTGAAAAATTGATCAGAAAAATCATTTTGAAAAGGATATCATTTTGGCAGCTTCAGCCTCTCCCTCTGCTTGAACAATTTTCTGCTGTTTTTCTTGCTTTGCACGTTCCACGACGAATGCTGCACGCTGTGCCTCCTGTTGGGCGACCTGTTTGGCCTCCACAGCAGCAGTGTATTCCTTTCCAAAACTCAATTCAGTTATTGACACGTCATCAAGAACGATATTCCAATCTTTCGCTCTCTCAGTCAATTCTTTTCTCACTAATGTTGACACTTGCTGGCGCATTGTAATTAATTGGGATGCATTGAACTTGGCGACTACTGATTTTAACACCTCATTGCAGATGCTGGGCAAGACCTTGAGACAAATTAAATACGAACAATTAATTTTAGGATAGCTTGAGGCATTCTCTGTTGATTTCAATTTATCTGATTATTTTGGCAAAATCGGTAATTGATAAAGTACTTTTTCATCGTAATCCTGTCCCAACTGGCGGTACATCGCTGGCAGTTTACTGGCGTCAGGACGCGAGAGAACTCTCAGCGATATATTAACCATCTGCAGGTCCTTGGAACCAGTTGGCGATGAAATTTTTCTGGGTCTGCTCCTGATGTCGTAGATTATTGGATACTGGAACCAGGGGACGCGAAAGTGCAGGCCCTCGGTGAATATGTCCTTCTGAATTCCTCCGACTCGTGAGAAAATTATGGCACGATGACCACCATCCACTGGAAATAACCAAGACGATTAAAAAAAAAATACAACAGAAAAACCTGAATGACGTAATCAGTCCGAGATTTTATTTTATAATTGATCAATATCTTTTCCAGAATTTTGGGGTTATGGGTATTGATTGGGGAGACGAGAAAAAAGGGAAGTGGAGACAGTTGTCGTTATAGTCTAAGGGATAATTAGAGTTGATTAGGAAGACTAATAGGGGAATGGAGATGAAGGCTGACCTGTGTACATGGACTGGGAAACTCCATAGGCTGCGACTCCAGCGGCTGCGAGGAATTTCAAACCCATGTTCATGCCTCCGGGTGTCTTGCTCAATCGTCCAGCGAAGTCATTCAGCTTGCTCTGCGCCATTGTCTTTATTTGAATTCACTGATTAATAAATTTATTACTGGTAGCAGTAATTATGAAATTCTAGTGGAATATTACGAGATACCGGCGCGCACGTTTTCCCAAGTCGGTAGAAGCTAGTGGTACGAAGTTAGTCACTTCCAGGGTTTCAATGAATTAGTTGGGTGTTGGTAATTGTGGTTTACACATGTGAAGATGGCAGATGGATAATTTGATTTTTTTTCATTTTTTAAAGGTTTTTTTCGCGAATTTTTGATGAGAGAATCGATATCATTCGTAATGATCTTTAAAAAAGGATTTTGAGAGACAAAAAAAGTGATCTGGACTTTTGGGTTTTTTTAAAGTGATGTGATCAGGGGGTGAATATATTTGAGATCTGTCGGTTGATATAGAATGGGATTTTAACAGAAATAAAGGAATCTAATAATTGAAATTTGAATCGTAAATAATATCGATTTAAATTCAAATTAGAATTGGATTTAATTTGATTTTTAAGAAATCAGTCTCCACCAGAGGCCCCGGGGCCTGATCTGCGTTGTAGGAGAGGAAAGCGACTTTTTCAAATTTCGATGTCTTCATCGTCTTTAACGGCTTCTTCATCATCTACAGGGAAAATGCATCCGAAATCAATCATCGATTAATAAAAAATTTAATTATACCAAAACTAATGTTCCTATCCCAAAAACTCATAGATCGGGCCCCTGCACCGAGGTAAATGTCTCTTTTTTCATTTTTGTTTTTATTTATGTTTCACTATTTTAATATACGAATATTTGCGAAACGAATTAAAATCAATCATTTGGGGCGAAACCCTAAAATCATGGATTCTTCTCTTATTTTTATTAAGTGATGACAATAAATTGT